GGAGCGGCCATTAATGTTGATTTTCTATCTGGTTGGAATGGACGTGGGAAGAAATATGGCTGCCGGTTTTGGTGGCCTAAATTAGTCCACAAGAATTCACGCATTTAAGTGGGTACAGATTTTTGGTTGTTGTTGAATTTTTAATGCTGGAAATTGAGACACACACCGAGCCTGTGCATAGATGCCAGGGGAGCCTAAAATAAGCAAATTGATTGTCACTATTTTGGTCGGCGTGTACAATACTCTTTTTATCACCATCTCATAAACCAATTGTTTCTCAGATGGTGATTAAAAAAGCAGTCACAGTGGCCGTTCTTACCCTACACGAGATGGCCCTCGACGTTCTTAAAATAATATTTAGCCACGTGTAATGGTGCATCGATTCATATATTAATATTTATTCTTAAGCTTCATGATACATGCACGAAATATTGCATGCAAGAATTTACTTAAAATGTTTGATTATCATAATGGATTCATGTGTGTTGTATGGAGAGAGGATAGAGGTAATAGCAGTGTCCAATAAACCCAAAGCCTAAGTTGAATTCAGCAGTGAGTGACTATCTGAACCGGCCCAGGTCTACTTTATCAACATCCAGTGTGAAGAATGATCAAACAACCAGCACAACCACCACGGCATGGGGAAACCTCCATCCAGAATGGTTGACAGAGAGCTGCACATTTTTTAAATTATTTCTATTCCTCTGACATGGGCATTAGCTCTTTGCATGATTCTTCCACGTGCAAAATAGCTTTCCAGCGAGATATGTTTCAGCATAATTAGAATCACTGTGCATAGAGAAAGGTCTGAAGGAAAACATGAATTAATTAACTCCGATGAATTCTAAGAAAACATAGAATATATAGTGCGTCATACATGTGTGCGCGTGTGTGTGGTGCATGTTTTGGGGAGCAGTAGTGTAGCGGTTAGCGCGCTGGTACGAACCTGGCGATCCGAAATGGATTCCCGCTCACGGCCAACACTAGTGACGATTATCTGAGCCAGTCCTGAGCTTCCCCTAGATCGACTCAGCCTCAAATGAGTACCTGGTGTGGTGTGTAAACATCGCCACTGGGGAGACAAAGGCATACGGGTGTGGTGCTGACCACCCACCCCTTTGTGTGCCGTGCTGGCCTTCATAGATGCATGCTAACAGCACTTGCCCCAACAATATGTTAAGACTATACGGGGGATCTTAGTCTTTTATGTTTTTTCATGGTGTATGTTGTGTGTGTCACCCCCACCTCCGTGGTGATTCACTGTATTTTCTAGATCCAGGGTGACGATTCGATAAAAATGTAGATTTTTTTGACGTTGTGGAAAACGTAATGGCCATGAGTGGCTGCAGAGGTCACGTGAACTCATTACACACCACAACATTTAAAAATAAAATACGACAATATAATTTTTTTACACGCCTGCATCAATGCATGTGTCGTGCGCTTATGATAATATTTGAATGAAATCGTTTAATTGATTTAATTGATACAAATTGACACCCGTGTGGCATATGTAAGAAGTATAACCCGTAAAAACAAAGTTTTTCACTATAAATCCTTTATATGCGTGGCGGCTAGAGTCCTCTCGTCCTCTGGCTTGAGATGGCTGCCACCTATGGGTCAGATGATTGTCTGCCAGTATTAAGCAATTGGTAATTAAATATTTAATTTGTTTTCCCTAAACAGTGTAAAATTTTGGAAAAAAAATTTCACGAACATTAATTGTCTCGCACAACGAGTCTGTGTGCAAAATGTCAGCTTGATTGGATCACGGGAAGTGGGTTAAAAAACGACCGAAAGATTTGCACGGTCGTAAGCAAGCAAGCACGCAAGCAGGCGAACTTAATATAAATGGTTTAAAAAAACGCGTAAACAAAAGTGATAATGCAGGAGAGCAAAACAATCTGGCAAATGATGTTTCTTGGAATGTAGTATAAGTCACTGGGAATTTCAAAAATCAAAGCGATTCAATTCGTTGTTAAGTTTTCAAATATAGCTGGATCACAGAATCATGTCACAGTCTCTATTTTTCGTATATTGCAAGATAACGATTTGATCATTATAATGGGACATGATTAACACGAGCCTCGGCAACTTTGGTTTATTAAAATTATAATATTATAACAATTGCTATGTGTTTTCAGCCTCACGGCAGGTGTTTTGCTCCACAACAGGAGTGGGGGTGTGTGTGTATACAGGAATTTCCTGTTTTGAGGTTGAGTTTGGTCACGTGACCAGGAAGTTAGGATTTGGCAGTCTTTGAGCCACGAGGCTGGCGTCCACCATTATGCAGAGTTCAAAATGTAGGTACACATCGCGTCCCAGTGAAGCCAGCTATAACTGTCCATTGTGGGACTTTAAGAAGCATTGTCTGTAATTTCGTTTATGTTCTTATAATACTGGGAATGCTGTTATAATGCTAGAATTACCGTTATAATGCTGTAAATGCCTTTATAATGCCGTTAAATTGTTATGATAAATACGAGGCCTAGTTAACAACGAAGCCTGCAACTTGCCTTATTTTGAATGTTACTTGTTATCGAATAAGTCGAGTCAAACTTGTACCCAAGTAACCTTATTGCGATCTTGAGAGCAAGGATGATGAAATGTCTCATCCACAGTTCAGTGTTATATGTAGTGCTGTGCATTTGGGGTGCAGTGTGATGATTACACCATGTGCCTTTATTTAACACTGTAGCTTGTTCTATTGTATATCTATTCAGTACGAATGCAGGTGCCTGGTCCATCCAGGATCTATTGTTGAGTTTCATGTTATCTAAGAAAATGTTATGATGCTGTGGTGTTCATTCATTGTATTGATATTACCAAGTATTAACATATTCTGTATTTGTGCTGTGTTTTTCCATCAGTTTTACCTCGTTCAATTCAATAAATTACGTTTGGAGTTGGATGTTCACCCTGGCTCTGAAGGTTTATTGGATGCGAGGTTAACTACTCGGATAGCGGTGCAACGCAGCGCACAGCGAGGCCGAGACACTGAGTATAAAAAAAAATCACAAGCACACCCGAACATGTCTTACGATCTATTGTAAGTAAACAAACAAAACGTGTTAGCTCGGTGAATATTAACATTGCGCTATCATTAATATAAGGCACATGGCATTAATGTCAATGCACCTTTGAGAACATGAATAATGCATTTGCCATTTAAGACCATGAACAGGTTTATTTTTTATCTTAACAGTTGCATTAATTAAACTTATAAGAAAGAACATCTGTTTGTTTACATTGAAGCTGGTAGATTTAATTTATTTTGCTATCACTCCCAGACATTTTAAGCTGCAGGCTGCATATTTAAATGTCCCCAATCATATCTAAGACTAAACTATGCTACTTTTATTTTACTGGGTAAGGCCCACATATGCTAGATCAATGAAATGGCTTATATTTCGATTTAAAGCTTTCGTGACCGCAGGGATTCATCTTCTTGGTTCTTTCGGTAAAGTGACTTTACCGAAAGAAACCAAGAAGATGAAATGGCTTATTATGTGGAAATGTATAGCAGCCAAAAATACTGTAAACGCATGTTTCATTGGAATACATTTCACAATGTATTCCAACGCAGTGGGCCCTCTCTGACACACGATTCATAAACTAGGTGCGCGCTGCTTATTATTGGTATTTTCATAAGGTCACTGAGATTTTAACAACAACAAAAAACCTACCTCAACTTTTACCATTAGACCCAACATTGCAAATGGGGGAAACATATAACTGGAAATCTACAACAGTACAATTACTTTAATAACTCGTCTAAATGTGACATATTTTCATTCAGCAGGGCTGAAAATTAAGAATGTCATCTGAATGAAATTCAAAAAGCTAAAAAAATTCTACAATAAGCAATGTTAGGGTAACAGACAATTCACATGTAGCACAGGGAGGTGTTCTATTAGTGGAGAAGACAGAACAAAAGCTGTAAACGGTGCAAGTGATCAGAACGATATTTGCTCAAAAAGTGTCAATGCAATAAGAACGGAAACACGCGTTGACATTTCGCGAATAATGACGCTGATAGAGAAAACCAATTTCATATCATAGTATAGCTCGCGAAGTTTATACAGAATCAAAATATATATTTATACTGGAGGAATCTGATAAGCTGTAAAGCTCTTTTTCACGCATGTCCAGTCGGGGCAGTTAACGTTAAAACAACAAACAATACAAAAACGTGATCGGCGTGCAAGATACAAGAAAGGTTATAATCACATCACCCAAACACATAAAAATGAAACTAAGCCATCCCCATCCTACCAGACAAAGCCCACTGAGGTATCAACATATTGTTCAAAAATAACCTCGCCATTTGACATTTATAGCAGCAAAATAATCGAAATAGCCGAAACGCATGTTTCAAACTGTGGAGAGAAAAACCAGAGGAACCGGAGAAAAAATCCAAGCGACCACAGGGAGAACATGCAAACTCTAAATACACATGCGTCAGTGTCGGGATCGAACGCCCACCTTCTGCATGCCAGGTGTGGAAGATAACGTCTCGCCACAGTTGTGAACGTATAGATGCCAACATTGACTCTAACACATACTACAAAAATACTTACAATTGGCAACGTTCCAGCATTGCCAATAACATTAAATGCTGTCGTTGACAGAATTACTTTTCAGATCGACAAGTGAGAGTACAACGAAAGGCACAGTTTTACAAGGGTTACTCGAACTAAAGCACTTGGAATGCAGCAACAATCTTGTTCTTTGTCCTCCTCTAATGAAGGCACACTTTAAACACTTAAAATGGTTAAAGTGCAGTTGAATGGTACAGCCACTGGTTTGGTGCTATTCTTTCCTTATAGTGCAACTGGTGGCACGCTGGCCCACGCTTTATGAACACTCAGCTGTACATGCAATGTTGCAATCCACCAAGCCTCCAAAGATGCTATGAAATAGCTTATTAATGTCAAATGTCCCACTGCCATATGAAAGAAGAACTCAGCTGTTTAGCTATGACTGGGATGCGCACTCACCTGTGAACCCAGGTACGCAGAGGCAGCGGTAGCTTCCTTCAAGATTGATGCAGGCCCCACCGTTTTCACAAGGCCTCAACTCGCATTCATTGACATCCAATTCACACAGCGGCCCATAATAGCCGGCAGGGCAGTGGCAACGAAATCTGTAAAAAATAAAGACAAAGCACCACACAGCCTTTTTTGCAAAGCCAAATTACCGTGATTGTAGAGAAGCAGGCAAATGATGGTTGCTTTGGGTTACCTAAGTTAGATTCCCAGCCACAGATACCAGCAGCATCCCTGGGCTCCCCTGTCCCCCCTTCACCAAACGTGACCAGTTTTGCAGAGTATAGTCTAACAATTATTACGACTGATGAAACATGAAAATTATTATTTTACAAACTAGTCCCAGATACAGACACACACATAGTGGCAAATGTGTCCATACAATTACTAAAACCAAGCAGCCACTCGCACCCAGCACGTTTGAACTTTACCCAGGCCACGTACCTGTTGTCAAGATCAATGCAGGTTGCGTTGTTTTGACAAGGCAATGACTCACATTCATTGATGTTAACTTCACAATAGGTCCCAAGAAACCCATCAAAACATAAACACCTAGAAAAAAACATTTCACGAAGTTAGTGTGAGCGCAGACGTTGTAATAGGATGTACAGTGTACAACGAGTTGTGTTATCTCAGAGAATAGGTGAGTCGCTCAATGCTCTTGCAACATAATAGATTAATAGCTCCCCGAATTAGCATTATTCTACGTGCTATTGTGTGAGTTTACTCTATTCCATTTCACATTTCACAATGAGAACACTTTGTACAATTGTCCTTTAGAACACAATAGTTGCTTGTACGCAAATACTGTTGTACAATAAGTTAATTAATACACAGATGCAAAGGAAGCACATTAAATAGAACAATAAAATTATGGAATAGAATTACGATGTTTTTATTTTCTGTGGGGTTTTTTTTGTTGGATGCAGATGGTTCTTTTTACTGCGTCCACAAAATATTTCTTTTGAATGCCACAGCATTATTAAACTAAATATTGACAAATGTGTTGGGTTGTTCTTGTAAAAAAATAAGCCTGGCGTGACAAAGCAGGTTATACTATCAGTATAAATTGGCAAAGCTATTAAAATATGTGCTGTTTGCTTCTGTGTGTTAATGGGATGTTGAAAAAAAATGCATAAAATACATAAGTATGTGCATACATCATTGGAAAGTTTTAAACTGCAATAAGGAAATGTATTTCTCAAGCAATTATCTTTAATACGCCACATTGTGTTCCCATTACAACAGCACCATTCACGCAGTATGATTGGCGTTCCTTTTTCTATAATTAATGGGTTCATGACTGTCTTAAGCACATACAGTAGGAATATACATCAGTCTTTATATTCTCCCAAATCACTACATATCTGAAACATAAACTAAAAACAATGATGAATAAGTTAATTTTGCCTATTCATTACTGCATGTATAAAAAGTGGCAATTCCACATCCCAATGGACCCTCCATGGAAACCACTAATGACTTCCTAGAAAATGGTACTGGTTTTATCAACACTAGAGGTAATAACCACCCGGAATGGGATTTGAGCCTGCGAATGCGAGGTGTTCGATCTCACCATGAGACCAAGCAGCTTCTTAGGTGGTGATGTGGCTCAGCTTAACGTGGCAGAATTTTGATATAAAGTCCTACCAATCAAAGGCTGTCCCCTGACCGTTGCTTGGCTCTACGGTGGATCATGACGTCATCACACGACCCAAATGCCCGGAGTCACGGAGCCAATCCAAATGATGCCATGCGACTCCAATGCTGTTGCAACTCATGCCAAACCAGGGGCAATGTTAAATGCCTGTCCAGTTCAGAACGAAGTGAGGAAAGCTGTTTTGAATATAATTGCCATGACATGCAAGGGCCCGGGCGCCAGGTGGTCCACACTTACTCAAAGCCGTTGGTTCTGTCTTTGCAGACTCCGTTGTTCTTGCACGGTTCCGATAAGCACTCGTTTTTGTCCGACTCGCAGAGGTCGCCATCAAATCCTGCCCGATGGAAAAACCACGACCAACCACGGCGTGAGAGTTGAGGATGGCAACAAGGTGGTTGCATGCAGCCTTCTTGCATCTCTGGCTTGGTGCAATTGATCAGGGCATAATATTATCGTCATCCATCAGTTTCCAGCAGCACTTAACTCACGACACTGATGACCATAATAGAGGTTTTTATTGGGTTAGATCGCGTGAATCTAAATGTGTCGTAAACCCGCCACCACCCGACACAGCCAAGTAGCTGGATGTAGTCATCAGCGAAACGTCGAACTCGAATCGTAAATGTTGTGGTTTTACTCTCCAACACACCGGTGTGCTGAGGTGGTAACTAATTGGCACGTTTTACGTGTCAAACATTACTAATTGGCTGTGTTGGGTGGTGGTGGGTTAATTACACATTTATATTTACGCGATCTAACACAAACAAATTTTGTGGATATTGGTCGCGAAAGCCTACAGTGTTAAATAGACACAGATCACACAAATGCAAAAAGCAGATTGCGATATCCTGAAATTGCTCATGAGGATTAGGAGTGCCTTGGGCAAGCAACTTTGAAGGGAATGTGGTTAATAAACAGAAACCAGTATTCTTCTTAAATTGTCCAAATGCAATGCACCCGAAATTGTAACAAAGAGAAGGCAACTTATTCTTGGTTCTTTCGGTAAAGTCACGTAGAAGGGAAATAATAAAATAATTAAAATATAAAACAATACATTTCTCACGACGTTTCGACTGCAACACAAGCAATCACCATCAGGTGTGAAATCTACTGCAAGAAAATTTGAAAAAGTGGCGTTTTTTTCTTAACGAATTTAATTGTTTTATATTTTTATTATTTTATTATTTCCCTTCTACGTGACTTTACCGAAAGAACCAAGAATATGAATCCCTGCAGTCACGGAAGCTTTAAATCAGAAGGCAGCTTGTTAAATAATTAGACGGGGAATGTGTTTTTCAAGCATATGAAGACACAAGAGATTAAATAATTATCTTTTAAGGAGAACCTGCTCTATTAATTATAAATTCAAACTGGGAATTGTATTCTCCAGTGTTATCACAACATTAAACAGACTAAAGCGTAACACAATTGTCATAACTGCTAATAGTATTTTTCAATTTAAAGCTTTCGTGACTGCAGGGAGTCATCTTCTTGGTTCTTTCGGTAAAGTCACGTAGAAGGGATTTTACGTGACTTTACCGAAAGAACCAAGAAGATGCTAATAGTATGACACTTTTTTACGGTGTACTGTTGTTCACAGGAGCTCAGATCTCGAATGAAAACCCTTCCTGATCCGGATTCCCTAAGAACATGCCGTGACGGTCACGCACATGGATTTAATGTAATAAATGCAGTTGGTCGCCCACTGATTGCTTTTTAGTTGAAACTAACTTTCAGGCGATGAGCTCGCCAGTCGAGCTCGCGAACCCAAAGGATGAAGTTCAAAGCGGTTTTGAGCGCAAGCGTCATTATGTTGAGATGTTGAATTCAGTCACAACGATCTTAAAGCAACCGGTGAAGAGCTCTGTTGGTTAGAACTTGATCGACACATTGGCACGGAGTAAATCATATCTTTGTAAACATAGCACTCTTGATGCGGTGGTGGAGAGTTAATCAAAACAATTGTGACATTAAGCTTCTTTTTCTTCCACGTGTTTGTCCTATTCATGTGGGGTCTGGTGTCTGCATCTCTGCATCTCCTCTCACTACATCCATATTTTTTCCTACAGTTTCATGATCTCACGACGCATTTTTAATGTCTTCCCACTGGGGTTTTATAAACTGAAGAGGGGGGGGGGGTAATTTGCGCTTAGGACCTCCAATGAGCCAGTACTACAATTCTATCCTTTTCACAGATTTCATTAATAAAAACACTCTTCATCAAAACAACGTTGGCGCAGTAGTTTTTACACTGCACCCTGAACCCAATTATTGGTTTATTTCCATTGCATGACATTCGCGATATCACGAACAACAACAAAAAAATGTAGGATTACAATGAAATTCTGAAAAAATATGTAATTTTCTTTTCTGCAATTGTGTGGTTATTTTTGTGAACATATGAAGCGTATTTGTATTCATGCCTAAACGCTATGTGAGGCTTATCTGCCGATCACACAGCTTGAATGGAATTTAACCAGTTAGTATAAAAAATAAACACATTACTCGCAATCATTTTCGGACAGGTTCTTCAACACAAATGACATCTGTACATGTGCAATGTTGACGCGGAAAAGCACCGACAAATTCTCACACTGCTTCTTAAACACAAAATAAAAAACTAAATATGTACATTCACTAAAATACGGCAATAGCATTGAATCATAATTTTCACATTATTTACTTCAATGTGTTTTTTTCAATGTGATAAAATGCACAAGTTAGCAAATTTTATTCCTAAAATTCGATGTTTTTTTTATCAGTGTAATTTAATACTTGGGATCTCATCTCATTGGCATATATTTTTTCTTGGCACTCAAACCTGATACGATGCCTCGATCATTCTTCTAGTTAAGCACTGTAATAATCGACTTGAACTACAGACCAAGCAGCCGCTTGTCACACGTGCATCTATCGTTCACGAAGATTGCAGAAAACGGAAGTATGTTGGAGAAATCAGAAGTTTCCACTTCATAGGCTGCCGTTTGGACTAAGGGGTCATTATGGTGAATCTCTGTCTCATCACCGGTAATGAATTATCTCTTAAACCTGCCCCAGACTGCCCTCATCAGCTCAAGACTCTTATATGACATTCTCAGACACTTCCTCTTGTTCTCACATGTCTTGTTATCGCATGTTAGTTCCCAAATTAAGAGCCTCACTGCTGCTCCTGCATGGCTTTGATCTGCCAAGAAAGCTCTGGTGGCTCCTTCAACCTCTCCAGGACAACAACTGGTCGCTGCACAACTCTCTCTTCCACAAAGATGACCCACAATGCAACTACTCCCATCCAAACTCGACAATGGACCACATCGCGAACAACTTGCATATTATGCCCGCTCTCCAGAGGACTGAATGATGTTAGTTGCGCGACTCCTAAAGCTGTCATGTGGCTCAGACTTAAACCAGTATGTCAAATTTACATAAACTTGTCATGCGCTGGAAGACGAATTCCCAAATGGTTGTGCAATATTGTTTTCCACCACTGATCCGAACACAGCTTACCCAAGGTTTCAGTGCAACAGTCTTCCAAAAACCCATCATGCACTGCCTCAATGTGCTCCTCACTCACCACAATCGGCAGCCACCCTATCCTGGGGGGTTGCCTTCAGGAGTCTTTTTGCTCTGGGGAAAAATCAAATCTGCAGCCGACCTTTCAAGTGTTGCACATGTGATGGTGTTTTGTCACCATACACTTTCAACACAGTTTTGTAACTTTATTTTCTGGCACAGTGTACTCTTAGTGTGACAACGACAGCTCGATGCTTGATTTTTTTTTATTTCAGCACTCACCGTGTTCTATCTTTACTAGACAATGTATAAATAACGAAAGAACAAACTATCCAGAATACTGTGCCCTGACTGTTTGAGTATGCTCAATACGGATAAAAAGTAGGCACACTTCAAGTAGCTGATCAATGTTCACGTCCTTTTATATCAGTCTGGGAATGTGTTGTACCACTCTCATATGTAGGCTGTGCCTGCACGCCACCCCTAACCCCCACAACTAAGAGACCCCAAGAGGTGCAGGCAGGCAGGCATGGCTGCCTTTCACCGGCTGGGCCACTGCATCCATTGCTGCCACATTGCCCCATGCCATGCAGCCGTCCCTGGGAGGTTGCCACACAAACGTGGAGTCGACCCCTTGTGCCACCCAGAAGTTTACCATTTTAACGTCCACCACGAATAACGCATCTGCAGCTGTGTTTCATTAACTAAGTATATAACACATTATCGCACTAAATCCAATACCCCCCCCCCCCCCCTTGTGCTTGCAGTGTGGGATGGGCGACATCATGAGCAGGGAGTCATTTGAAAGTATGATGGCGATATTTTGTCCTGGACGAGCAAATACAAATAAGTTTGAAAAAAAATAGGTTTTACCCTTTCTGGCACTAAAACAAGTGTTAAGACGTTCAAACACCAAATAGATACCTTTGATACTGCTAAAAAGATCCCATGATACAGATGAGTCTGTTTGAAACGTAGGCTTTCGCGACAAATATTATCCATAAATGTCATACTCGAATTATAAATGTTGTGGGTTTACTCTCCTACATACCGGTTGATGCTGAACTTTAATATTTTATATTTACGAAATATAAAAAAACCCTCTTACTACAGATGAGTCTCAAAAGGAAGGATCATAAACTATCCAATGTTGTGCACTGACTGAATGTGATCTTCTCTTGAACACCATGGAGCTCTATTTAAAGCTTTCGTGACTGCAGGGATTCATCTTCTTGGTTCTTTCGGTAAAGTCACGTAGAAGGGAAGTAATAAAATAATAAAAATAATAAAACATAATATTATTTTATTACTTCCCTTCTACGTGACTTTACCGAAAGAACCAAGAAGACCATGGAGCTCTGTTGCAAGATCACTAAAGGTCCATAGAAAGATCTGGTCTTCTCGAATGGACCAATTTATGACGTGGCCCTCTTACTCCTACCATGTATTTACTGCTACCCATCACTCTTGGTGTTTACTTTTCCTTTCACTTTTATATCTCTACTCTTCCCTTTGCATACTCTTCCGTTAAATGTTTCTTTTTTGTTTTACCAGGTGAGGCCCACTGAGCTGTATAGCTCTTTTTTTTAAGAGACCCGGCCACAAACGATAGCTCTCTGAAGTGGCTTATTACGTGGAAATGTATAGCAGCCAAATACACAAAATGCATGTTCATTTAAATGTGGAGGGAAAAACCGGAGCACCCGGAGAAAAAGAAGCCACGCAACCACGGGGAGAATACGCGAACTACAAATATACAGGCGTCAGGGTCGGGGTCGAACCCACATCCTCCTCCATACCAGGCGAGGTTTTTTAACATCTTACCACCGTATTGCATCCTAGATCCATAACTACGGGTCCCCCTATTGTTTCATGTTTATACCGATCGTCTGAATGCAGTGTATCCTGGTTCTGTGCTTTTCTGCATTTGTTGTTGTTGAAAATATAAAGACAAAACGTTATACAAATGGGCCTCCTCCAGTCGTGATGATGGTTACTCCCTCGTGAGTCGTGGGATCCTCGACAATCATAGCATTTGTTTACAGCCCTTTGTCAATACACAGCTTGCATGAAGGTCCACCCCATGCCATATCGGCCATGGACAATGTTTGACCATCCCAGTCGGTGGAGGTTTGTGAAGGGGAGCTCAGGACGGGTGCAATATATCACTCGACAGTGATGTTAGGTCGGGAATCGAGCTTATGCCACCAGGTTCATAATGCAGTGTGTGAGCCCATTGCAACATCATTGCACAGCCTACAGTAGGCCAATGCAAACCCACAAGTGGGTAATGACCTGGGTAATCTTAGGCATTACAAATGGCAGAATTTGCCTCCAGGAGTGCCATTGACGACTCAGAATAGGGTAGTGACAATGGCATCCACAAACAGGGTAGTGGGAATTGGGTAATCATACCATTACCAAAATGATGTCGAGTCTCGAGTAGTGACAAATACATCCACTGGGCAGTGTACCCTGGGTAATCATTGCAAATGAGCTTGCAATATCCGGCGCCACGGCAAACACTAGGGGACCATTAGCCACCATTAAATATCCGACAATGTACCAAACATCAAATGACAACATGAATTGTGATGAGCTCTGACCTTTGACCATGAAACCCGCTTATTTAAGTATACCAAAAACTTTACCCATTGTGGATTTTACCATTCGTGCCAAATTGACTGGGGTATATAGTTTGCTGATCGCGCCTGTTTGGCTCGACCAGAACACACACAGTTTAACACGTAGGCTTTCAGGACCAATATCATCGATAATACAGGGTTTTTTGGGGTATTATGGCAGAACACGCACACATCAAGTCTCCCATATGCAGCCCAGCGTCAGTCCCAGGTCACGTGAATCCATCATCCAGTGAGGAGGCAGTGAGATTCAGATTTTTCTTACCGTTACCCCCCCCCCTCCCCATTCTAGACATTGCTGTACAAGTTATATTTAACACTATAGAAAATTGTAAATCGTCATTTCCGTAAAAAAATACTAAATTTGTACTTAAATGAAAGGAGGGGGTGTCGTATTCCGAAGCGTGAGTCAAAATCCATGTTTTTCCCATTTGCCTTTGAATTTGCGGATTGCGGATTTGCCAATCGCGGTTATTTTCAAGAACGTAATGCCTGCGATGGGCAAGGCTTTGGTGTAATGACGAGCTGGGTGCTCGTGCGTTACCGGGAGGACACTCGCAGTGCACCGTGCCATCGGAGAGGGTAAGACAGCGTGCGTTCTTGTGGCAGGGGTTGTGATCGGAGCCACAGGGATCGCGTGGATCCTGGCAATGCGAGCCAGTGTAGAAGGGGCGACACCGGCATGAGAACTGTCCTGGTGCCCCAGAGTCGAAGCACGTGCCGCCGTTCAGGCATGGACGTGACGCGCATTCATCGATGTCTTCTGTGCAATCTTGGCCTGCCCAGCCATCTGCGCACTCGCATCTTGAGCACAGCAGGCGAATGCAAAGGTTGTGTTGGGTGGTAACACAATACTGGTTTGCACATTTTTGTGATCAGATGACTTAAAAAGCCGCGACCACGAATGCCATAATTTTACTGTTCTATTGTGATTTATGGTGATAATCAGTTGTCTTTCGAGTGGAAATAATAATTGGATTATTTAAGATTTCTAAATGAAGACCACCTTATGGTGGCTGAAGGATGATAGATGATGCAAACATTCGTGCATCATCAAGAAACAGCTGGAATAATTTTCATCCAGTTTATTTTTAATTTAAATATATGCACCATGCAGGACTTCCTAAAAAAAGAGTAGTTGGACTCAGTGGGGCTTTCCTGGATAGATAAATATAATAAATTCAAAGAATGTGCGTTTATCATTTTGGGCTGTGCATACAACTACTGCACATGTAACGCATGAATAATGCAAACAAACAATGTTTTGTTAAGATTTAAGTTAGGACTGCACATGAAGATGATGTCTCTTACCGGTAGTCATTGAAGAGGTCAAGGCAAACACCGTTATTGAGGCAGGGATTATTTTCGCAATCATCTGCGTCTCGTTCGCAAAACTCTCCAGTCCAGCCAGGCTCGCACAAACAAACGTAACTCTGTAACCAACAGCAGCAGGACGGCGTTTGACACATAGACATTGGTGAGCACTCGCCACTATCAAACTTTTGCAATGTGCTTTTACACATGCCTGAGGATTTATGATAAAATAAATTTAAATAAGGGAAACCCAGAGAGAGAGAGAGTTGCTTGACTTGTAATTACACATCCAATAAACATCATGATTATCTTCTTCTTGGTTCTTTCGGTAAAGTCACGTAGAAGGGAAGTAATAAAATAATAAAAATAAAACACAATAAAATAATTCTCACGACGTTTCGGCTACAACGCAAGCAGCCTGTCACCTGAAGACGTCGTGAGAATTATTTTATTGTGTTTTATTTTTATTATTTTATTACTTCCCTTCTACGTGACTTTACCGAAAGAACCAAGAAGATGAATCCCTGCAGTCACGAAAGCTTTAAATCGAAATCATGATTATCTGTATATAACTAGGCCCTAAATACACATTAAGGCCTAGTCCAATGGATTCGGAATTAAACTGTAGACAGCAATATCTGTCTGTGCAACCGCCTTTGAAATGATAAATATACAGAATTGTCAAGAAAATTGCCTATCAAGAAAGTGATTTACTATTCCAAAAAATGGGAGGGGTACGACTTGATGTGGGCTTACCTCGAGAGCATGAAAGTTACAATTGCTATGCAAAAAATATGTGATGTTAGCAATAGCTGCAAGACTGGTCTATGTAATCAGAGGCGGGTTCCCCAAGCCACCTGAGCTAAACGATCCCAAAATTTTGCATCGTTGCGTGTGAAAGTGTCATTAGAAATACCCAACATTATAAGAAGTTAAGTGACCTCTTAGGAATACAACATTTTTACGAGCAATGGGATAAACAATCAAGGTGTGCATTATTGCCAGCCTTGTTTACATGATAAAATAAATAATATACAAGAATAAATACCTCTAATATTTTACAATAAGAACAATCATGTACAGTGATCCCTCGTTTATCGCGGTTAATGGGGACCGGAACCCCTCGCGATAGGTGAAAATCCGCGAAGTAGGATTGGCCCCCTAGGAATTTCCGTATATGTGTGTGTGGGTACCAGAATGTTTAAAATATGTATATTTATACTTTATATATATATTTTACTTAAATCTATTTAATTTTAAATCCTTAATATTATACATTCACTCTCTCTCTCTCTCTCATACGATACGTATTATGGTGTTCTACACTCACCAATGACAGTAGTATCTTGAGACTTGACTCCAGTAATGACGACGACGACAATGACGATGACAATGACGACGATGACAGACCTGTGCAGTTCGATGAATGTGATGATGAATGATGATGATGATGGTGTTACTGCACAGGTATAATGATACCTTTAAATCAGTTTGAAAAATCCGCGATGCACTGAGGCCGCGAAACTTGAACCGCGAAGTGGTGAGGGATTACTGTATGCCCCTTTTCAATCCCCTGCTATTTGATGGCCTCCCCCATGCCATGGGGCGTTGTTTCACCATATTTGACCATGCTTGTGAGTGTGGGTTGGTGAAGTCGGTGACCAGAACTTGTTCAGTTACTCATTCCCCACTCCTGTTAGCCGTGGCCCGAAATCAAACTCAGGTCACAGCGGTCCTTGTTTATATTATTACGTGAAAAATAGTTTACTTCGTATGGTTGTTTACCACTAAAAGGTCCTACAACTTGTTTTCTGACATGTTATGTTCATTCAATTGCCTATATGTTTACTGACTTTCATTTAGAATTTTTGTTTCATTACATAACTTTGACCACACATGCAAGGGGAAAGGTCACGTATGGAAGAAAAACAACCCTTTAATGAACAACAAACTCCGGGTGCTTTTGGAGTAAAGAGAATCAAAGTTCGAACAATAACGCATAACCTTCTGCTTTTAGAACAAACCATCATCTTCCCCAAACCCCCGTCAATTAAACCTCCAATCTACAATTCTCTAACCCGCTTCTACATCTCTATTCCAATTATAGGATAATAGCATCGGAATCCACACTTAACACAAATTGCTATTGATTCTTCGGTTTATAATCAAGGCATCAGTTAGAAGAAATGCATTAGGTCCACGGCAAACATGGCCGACCGTCAATATTTAGCCACAGAGTGAAGCGGCCTTGATCCTACCTCTAGCTGAGAAAAAAATAACACCCGATCAATTTTATCAACACGGGCTGTCAATGCGTTTTTTCCCCCTTCCTACAGGGCATTTTAGAGTCTTTTAACAAACTCTGCAACAAACCTCACGAGGTTTTGAACGGCTCAGAGAGCAACTTGCCTTGGGCTTTTATGTCATTACAAATCAAGCTTCACAGGCAGTGCCGCACAGCTAATTCTCCAGAGGGGGTCCAAGACTGCGTGTTAAATCTTACTCGTTAATTGGAACTTAGCTGTACTCACGTGTTACACGTGCAAAGAACTCCGTCTTAAATATGCATATCAGTTGTGCGACTCACAAACTCTCCTGGGATAGAGCGATCGGAAGTATGTTAAACATCACAAGTTCGTAAATTGTAGCTTAATGAGTTATTTTTTTAATTCCTGTTGCCGAGATGTGAGAAAAAATAATTGTCAATTACTTCAAATTTTTTTTGCTCAAAATTTCAAAGGGGTATCCTGGTGTTTTTCAACAGCCTCTACATTTACCTGGCCACTTTACGTGATTACGATTCAACTCACGCATATTTGCCATAACAATGTTAAAAGCGTGTTACTGTTAAAAGAAATAGGTGTTTTAATTGTCGTTTCATACATTAGTTAACAATACACATTCACCGTGTAATGATAAATCAGAAGGTAACATTAATAGTGTATCCTTCATCCAGGAAATGCGGCACCAAGTCTCAAAATTTATCGGGAAGGTACTGTCATTTTCTTCATCAAAATGTCTACGTAGCTGATCCATCTCTATAAATGTTTGAGTACATTCTATGTTTCTTTCATGAAGGTATTGGTTTGTCAGCGATTGATGACTGCGGCAGTTTTCAGCTAATAAAATTACAATGACTGACAACAAAAAATCCATACAGATAGGTCAGCAACCTACGTTATGTACTTGTCTCAAAAGTCGTGTAGGTTGGGACAATTGTTTTGGTGATCCACAAAACCTGCCCATAAAATGTTTGAATTGTAGCAATCAGACACAATCACATCAGGTGGTCTCACACGCCATGCTATATGCCACGATGGGCTATTGTTGCACAAAGCATTTCATCCATAAAAGCGAACACGTTATACAAACAAAAGGTTGTGGAATTCTGGTGAATATACTTTGCAACTTAATGTGACAAAAGTTTATTTTTTAAGAGAGATCACGTATAATTGAATTCCTTTTGCATGGCAATTGCCTTTTTAATGTGAACCTTGATGTAAACTATGTTATGCAGTTATTTGCTTGAGAATTAATTATCATACAACAACCTACTTTGTTTAACATTCACTGTTGCATAATTATTATATGATTATCTGTAGTTCATCAAGCTATAATTGTGTACTTACAAAACCAAAACTCTTTAAAAGTAAGTTACTGATGGTTAGAGTGGCCATGCACAGTTTAATGGTATGCAATTACATGCCTATTTTGTGATAATTGCTTCCAAGGGGAATGCATAATATGTGTAGTATGTTACTACAGTGCCCAAATGTTCTGCTTTTAAAAGTGTTGGTGGAATTAGGCTGTATTATTATTATGGGTTTTGGGTATTTTCAATCAACCCATGTCAGATGATCACCCATCATCTTGTAATTTATCACATGTTAACTTCTTTCTAATTTCTTTCCCACAGTACACAGCCAACCATGCTAATTGGAGGTGTGGGGGAAGGACAACAAACTAAAAAACGCAGTTTTAAAGAAACGAGTTTGTAACTCTAGATGATTTAAAAGTTGAACATTTTCCAGTGGCTTCCTAATATTGGAACAAAGAGCATTCCAGACAATCTTAACTTTGGAGCTTTCGTGACTGCAGGAATTATTCTTTGATTCTTTTGGTAAAGTCACGTATAAAGAAAAAGTAATAAATTAAATAATAGCATACGACGTTTCGATTGCAACACAAGCAATCATCATCATCAGGTATAATGAAATAGCGACATAAAATCTAACCAGAAAAAATTATAGACAGACATATAAGCAGACAGATATCACCAAGATACACAGAGCGGGCAACACAGGTACAGAGAGGGGTGATCGTCTCTGTGGGGTGGCCTTAAATAGACAGAGGGGGGCGGAGGCAGCGAGAGGGAGGGGTTAGAGACAAAATTTACATGTCAATGAGTACAAAAAGGAGTGAGCAGGCTTAGGGAGAGAAAGAAACACACTAAAATTAAATAACCTCGCAAAGTATCGAAATGTTATGTAAAACGACACAGAGAGTCGGTCAACACACAATTAACGCATTCCAGACAGCCGTAGGAGCACATCTGAACGCGTGTGATGCAGTGTCCGTCTTTACTCGATGACTATAATTCAAGAGTAGTTCACAAGTACAAGTTGAAGTTAATTAAAACATAATTTAAATATCTACTCCAGCGGTCGGGAACCTATGGCTCGCGAGCCATATATGGCTCTTCCAGTGACGGCATATGGCTCCCAGACAATTTTGAGTTGAAAAAATAATACAATAAAATCAGTTTGGAACTGAGTTTAAAATACTTGTGATATTACTTAATAATACTGTGTCATTTTAAGGTTAACAGAAATTAGTTTTGAAGATAAATGTCACGGGTCACGCCTGCATGAAGCTCAACCTCACCACGTATGAACCAGACTACAAGGCCATCAGCAAAACCATGCAGCACCAGAAGTCGCATTAAAAGTAAGACATATTTAATTTATTATACGTTAAAATACTATATGGCTCTCAATGAAATATATTTAGAAATATTTGGCTTTTATGGCTCTCCCAGTCAAAAAGGTTCCCGACCCCTGATCTACTCCAACATTGAGCCAGGAAGATGCAGACTTCGACCAAATGTGTGAAGTAATAAACCAGATTCTAAATCAGGGCAGGTAATAGATTGTAGGTAAATGGAGAAGATGCCTAAGGATGCAAGTTATCCAATGTATTGAGGAATAAGAAAGGGAAACTCATATTAGAGCTGGCATGGAGATAATGAATATGTATTTTTAATTAGTTTTCTTTAGAAGTGATTTTTGTCTTTAGTTTGTTGTCCTTCCTTCACACTTCCGATTAGCACGGTTGGCTATGTACAGAAGTTCAACATACATACAAATAAAAAATGGACATGGTGCAAACCAAATGTAAAAAATAGAATTGATGTCGTCTTGATTTTCATGGATATTGACAGAGATGCCTCGGGCCTCTACAAGCTCAACAGACGAGGTTGGATCATGTGCTGGTGTAATACAAGCTACACTTCAACACTGACAGAGAGGACAAAGGTAATTACGAAAATATATTCGACTGTGAACATCAAACATTTCGTTCAGGAGGTAGGCAAATTTAAGCTGCAGATTTACAAATCCCTCCTGGAAAAAATGATGGAATGGCTGGTATCAGTTTATGTAATGAAATAAGCAACACTGCAATGAGCAGTGCACTGAAAGTGGGCAAAGTGTAAATGTGAAAAGATAACAAGTTCTCTGAAAGCACAACAAAACATGTTGAAGAATAGGAGTGGTGTGAATATGGACAAAATACAAAACAAAAGATACAATACAAAGAACTTTGTAAAAAATACTTTGCGAAACAACGAAAATTGTTTTTGCAAACACAACACAAAAAATGATAATGGCATGGTGAAGTGTATCTATAAATAACCCCAATAAGCTAGGGCCAATGGAGAAAATAATAATGAAACAACCTACGTATTAAATAACACTTTATTTACAATATGAAAAATATATGTCTCTCATAAATGAGGTCTGTTATAGGTAAATAAACATTTAACGATGCATTATTTTCCCTCACAAATGACTTGCTTAAGACTTGACAAAATCCTGGCTGGTTGGAATAGCATATCACAGGATCCAGATTTCTGGTTTCTTTTGTCAGTGATGGTCTTCGAAATATGTTCCGATGATACACAAATTACAAGCGAATAAAGAGTGATTGCAGTGAAATGGCATGACTTTATTGCCCAGACTAGATAATAACATGGGCAATTAGTTTTTGATGAAAAAATCTGCAGAACATTGAGTCCTCGATGTAGGCGTCCAGGTGATGATTCACACTGAACGTTGACAGAAAACGGTGGCATATTACACAACGCCCCTCCAACTCTCCTCTATTAGTCACAACAAAATAACAACTGCACAGACTACACGGTTCAAGGACCCAGCGGTTGATATGGCCCATGGATATTTACAAAGGGGTTTCAGCAAACAGCTCCAGCTAGCTCTGCAATAAACCAAATAATATCAACACTGCAGCTCTACCTCAGGAATTTAATAATTATGGTCATTATGAAAGAGATGCGACCAGCTGATTGATACAGAATTAGCAAACCTGTTTACTAAACGTTTTCACAGAAATGAAATACCTCAACCAAGTTTCCGCTGATGCCTCCAACATTCACATAAGGTGTTCAGAATGAGGCGATGGTCTGTGTCAGCTTGATACTGCCAAAAACAAACTCTGCACCCGGTGTTCTCCTAATGAGCTGCAGACTAACCAGGTGTCGATCTTCGCAGGTGGCATTGTTCAGGCACCAGTGGCTTTCACAGTCATCGATGTTCAACTCGCAAAGCTCTCCAGCATATCCAGGACTGCATAGGCAATAATAGCTGTCCAACGCTGCAGAGACGAACAGACGACAATGTACAAAGACACACACACACACGAGACAATAATTAATTGCAGAGTCCACACATAAATGAGCTTTGAGTGGTTCTCAACTGATCCCTTTGTATACTTAGCACAACCTCTGTTACAGGCAGGAAACCAATGATGGCCACCAACGTATCACGATGCCGAATGCTCTTTGACCAGAGTCTGTGCGTGGAAACCCCCCCACACCTCCCCATGAAACCGACTTGTCCACCATTGCCATGACCTATCTGTTTAAAACGTTTACTATTGACTTCCTTCAAGGGTATGAGTACATTCTGGTGGTAACGGACAATTATGCAACACTTTGTACAAGCGTATGCCACAGCAAACAAATTCTGCCAAGACTTTAGCCAAGAACAAACTTTAATGACCTGTAAAATCCGCCAAGACTTTGGGAAGTAACTTGAAAAACAAAAAGAAACAGCCAAATGATCCCTTATGGCGGTATCCCGGGGTACCAAATAATACAAAATGGCCGAGGCAATTAAATATTTTATTTCTGGGACATTATTTTTTCCAGGGGTGTACTTAACTCCGCGACTGGGGTATCGATCAATTCGAAATCAGTGCTACTCCGTGATGTCGAAACGCCAAACATGAGCATAAAACATCCGTTATCGAAAAATTCAACTTTGAATAGTGCATCGTGCACAGCTCGTCGAGATGAGTCGATTGCCGCACCGCCGACCATTAAACAGACTAAAAATGGCTGCATCACGGACATTATGTGAGAGCCGGGGTACTATGGTATCCCGGGGTACCGCCATAAGGTTCATATCTATAATACAGGTTTTTTTTGGGGGGGTTAGATCACGTAAATATATTAATGTTTCGTTAAACCCGCCACCACCCGACACAGTCAATTAGTAAGGTGTACATGATGCACAAATCAACAGGGCACTGATTGCCAAAACCAAATCAAATAACAAGAGCATTGAAACTGACCAAGTAATTAAAACTATTAAAATACCATCCATTGCAGGAGTAACTGATAAACTAGCCAGATGTTTGGAAAAACAAAACATCCGAGCCAGATTTGGCATGGTACATAAAATACAGAAATTAAAATCTGGTACGAAAGATGTATTACCGAAGCTATCAACAGAGGCTGTGTATCGGATTAATTGCTTTTGAGGCAAATGTTATGTTGGGCAGACAGGACGAATGATCAGCACGAGACTAAAAGAACACCAAAGGAACATTAAATAGTCCCAAATACAACTGTCGGCAGTGGCAGAACACACGTGTCAACAAGAACACTCAATCGATTTTGATCATACTGAAGTTATAAAATAATAAAAATAAAACATAATAAAATAATTCTCACGACGTTTCGGCCACAACGCAAGCAGCCGTCCTCAGGTGAAACCAGGTCTGTCGAGGCTGTCGCCGAAACGTCGTGAGAATTATTTTATTATGTTTTATTTTTATTATTTTATTATTTCCCTTCTACGTGACTTTACCGAAAGAACAAAGAAGATGAATCCCTGCAGTCACGAAAGCTTTAAATCGAAATTTCATACTGAAGTTCTGTGCGAAGCTAGTTACTACTGGCCAAGACTAATTAGAAAATCTCGAAATTGAGAGAAAAAAATATAATTTTCAACGTTCAGATATCTACAGACTTAGTGCTACTTGGAAGCGAATAATCAAATAATGAATTGTTTAAATGCATGTCTATACAGGTCACCATACTTCAATGGGATTACCTGTGAACAGACAATAACAGGTGACTGCTATGTTAGTGCAATTGGCTTGCATAATGTATATGCATAATACACATTGATTACCATATGAATAACCCGACCGGCAATGGATACTCATTAACATTTATATGCATTACCTAATGCCCCCCACTTCACTCAAGAAGGGCTCACAAGTGATATCATCACATGTACCCCTCTATTTAAGGAACGAAACAGGATTTCTCCACAAATCTGGCTGCCACCTGTAATTACTGGCAAAACATCGTACTCAGATTGTAAATGTTGTGGTTTTGCTCTCCAACACACCGATGTGCTGTACTAGTAACGAATTGACATGTTCTGTTTACGTGACTTGGGTGTGTCGGGTGGTGGCGGGTTCAACGACACATTTATATATTTACGCGATCTAACCCAAAACACCTGTATTATGGATGATATTGGTCTCAAAAGCCTACGTGTTAAACAAACAGCCATATGCGATGTTAAAATAACTCTGGGGGGTCCTCGGTTACCACACAACACCTTATCTGCAGAGTAAAGGCCAATTTGACAAATTCAACAGTGGCCGTGCAGAGTGCTTTGGCCGAATAGACAGACAGCCGGCTTGAAAGGTTCTCTGGCAAAGGTTGTTGATGCATATAATCGTACACACGTTGAAGCGACAGGATGCTTGCCTTACTATCTGCTGTTTGAGCAATTCCCAAGTCTCCCCATCCACCTCCTGTTTAATCTAACAGCATGCAGAAGGCAGGCAATGTAAAAAAAAACTGCGTCCCAAACTGGCAAAGAGAGTATAATTGAAGCATATTGTTTAATCTGGGAAAGCGGCTTATTATGACAAGGTAATCCATGGAAATGACTTGAAGCCAGGTGGCATAGTCTTAATTCACAATCTTAACTGGGAGGGGGAAGACTGGATAAGGTTTATTCTCGCTTGGAAGACAACGTCCATAAAGTAATGGGAAGGAAAAGTGAAGACAATCCAGTCTAAGGTGAATTTGGAAACAGTGGCGGAGGAAGAAATCTACCGCGGGAGAAATCGACGACGACTCCAAGTCATCAACAAAGAGTAAAAGAATACAGTAATCTGGAAGTCACAATGTCAGTCGGACTATGAAAGTGACTCAAAGAAAGAACACTAGCTGATTGCACAAGTGCCTAAAGAAAGTGACTCAAAAGAATAACAGCAGCTGATTTACAAAGTGCCTCAAAAAGGGATAAAATACTGCGCTCCCAAGATGGAAACTTGGGAACAACATTAAATAAAACAAATACTGAGAACTTCCTTGAGCTGTAGAGCCGGCATCGGCTGAGGAAGGAGTACCAACATCACAGAATAACTCACAAAATAATCATGAGCGTCATTGTGGAGGATATAAGAAACATAATAAATAAGCAAATAACAACATTAAGCAAGTCCATATGCCTCGTTCATATATCCATCCTTTCATATATTAAAAAAAGTATTTTTTACACATCCCATCAGCCACACCACCCTCTGGACGTGCATAACGTCAACAACATTGGCTCAATACCAGCCAAACTCTGGACCAGTTTAAGATTCAGTGTCTCAGCAGCAGTCAGGCTTACTTAAACCAATGCTGATGGACGGCTAGATGTTCCTTAATAAGGACCCTCTCCATTCGACATGGGTCCTAGTTTCAAGCAATGCTGCGTTATGAGGAAACACAGAGGCAGTCACAGAGAGTCGAGGGATCAGGATCCTCAGGATGGATTGGAGGCAGATCACCTGTCTTATAAAGAGGGAAACCAAAGTTCCCGACTGTAAGAGGGATAATATTCTACAATAGAAATCGCAAATAAGGACTGATATATAAAGCCTTTGGACAACCCCACGATTGTAAATACAAAAAATAACAAAAAGGTACTCTTTGGTTCTGTCGGTAAAGTCACGTATAAAGAGAAAATAATAAATAAAACAAAAAGGTAATTGGAGCAACGGTACAACCCTCTCCCACCATCAGAAATTATGGATATCATAGAATGCAACAGGAGAACGTATTGCCCATTAGTGGTCTTAACAGGTATTTCTATGGACATTTAAATGTATAGGGCTGCAAATATTGTTAAGCATTTGTTCAGTTATGCCAGTAAGTCAATGCTTAAAAGGGAAGGAAAAACTTATTTTTAGACTGGAATAAAGATAAGGCCAACACTTGGAGGCTGGATACAGAAATGCATCCAGAATACGCATCACAGAATATTGAGAGTCGGATGAAAAAAGAGAATTCAGTGTAACACAAGAACAAAAAAAGTTAACCCGATAGTGGACATCATGAGATGACCACGGTACATGTGTCCAGCCAGAAATGTAACAGTTACAATTCAAAACATGCCCCGATGCTTCGGGGTTGTTTCTTTTTTGGCTTCTTTTTTTCAGTGTCATGCGTCTCTTTGCTGCCACAGGCAACATCTGACACTACTGAGCCTATTGTTTCATGTGACTTGTGCTGATGGCTGGCTCACCGTATGGGGGGGGGGGGCAGGGGGCAGGGGGCTCTGGGTGACCAAAGTCAAATTTCAGACAAAACGCTCGTTTAGACCGTAGCCAGCCAACATGCTGTGAAGCCGTCTGTGGTGGCATGAACAGGTTCATCCCACACGCCGCCTCCGAGCGAGGCGGCAGCTAGCTGGGGCTGTTTGCTGAAACCCCTTTGTAAATATCCATGGGCCATATCAACTGCTGGGTCCTTGAACCGTGTAGTGTTTGCAGTTGTTATTTTGTTGTGACTAATAGAGGAGAGTTGGAGGTGCGTTGTGTAATATGCCACCGTTTTCTGTCAACGTTCAGTGTGAATCATCACCTGGACGCCTACATCGAGGACTCAATGTTCTGCAGATTTTTTCATCAAAAACTAATTGCCCATGTTATTATCTAGTCTGGGCAATAAAGTCATGCCATTTCACTGCAATCACTCTTTATTCGCTTGTAATTTGTGTATCGTCGGAACATATTTCGAAGACCGTCACTGACAAAAGAAACCAGAAATCTGAATCCTGCGATATGCTATCCCAACCAGCCAGGATTTTGTCAAGTCTTAAGCAAGTCATTTGTGAGGGAAAATAATGCATCGTTAAATGTGTATTTACCTATAACAGACCTCATTTATGAGAGACAGAAAAAATGGGTTTAAAATTCTACCATTGTATGTGTGTGTAAGTATGTTCTTTTGCACCATACGTACCCAACCGGTACTAATCGGAAGTGCAAATGTGTTTTTTTTTCCTGGGCACTCT